AGGTCATGATCCCAGGGTCCTGGGATCGAGCCCCGCATCGGGCTCCCTGCTCCGCCGGAAGCCTGCTTCTCCCTCTCCCACTCCCCCTGCTTGTGCTCCCTCTCTCGCTGTGTCTCTCTCTGTCAAATAAATAAAATCTTAAAAAAAAATTTATTTTCACCATCATCATCATGTATTCTTGTCTTGATAAATAACAATTAATCTGATACTTAGGAAGTTTCGTTTAGGTGAGCTCATCACTGTGTTGCTAACTGTAGCATACATACACAGATTTGTTAATTTACAGATCACTCGCCTTGACATTTACACGGTCGTTCAAACATTGCTTTTTAGGGCTGTTCTGGGAGTGCTCACTGCATTCCAGTACCCGCTAGATCTCTGACACATCAGAGCACTTAAGAAACAGTAATTGAAATATTTGAATAAGCTATGTTAAAAAAATTTTTAACAAATAAGCTAAAAGTGAGAGCGTGCCTTTTAAAAAAGACCTATGTACACATACAAGTTTGAGGATCCAACTGTGTTTCAGAAAATGGCTAATCCTGTTTCACTTAAAATAGGACTGTGAATATATAGGCTGCAGGTGAGCGATTTCAGTACAAATACTATATTGTGATTTAATCCATTCTTTCTAGTTCAGCTCTTACACCTGCTGTAATTGAAATCTGTTGCAATGTTCTTTCTGTCCGTCTTGATGACCCTTTCATAACATATGTGTTGATTCATTGATTTGTTCAGCATTTCTTACTGAGCACCTGCTCTTGTGCCAGGTCCTTTCCTAAGCACTAAATATAGAGCAGCAACAAACCAGACCAAAATCCCAGCCTCAAAGAGCACAGAAGGGTGATGCTTAGCACATAAACTGCCCATGCGTCTGATGTTCTGCAGTAAAACGTAGGTGGGCAGTGTCGGGCATTTTCTTCTTAGGCTACAGAATTCCTGATTTTTTTTTATTTCATTGAAATCTGAGGGCATGTGCAACTTGTGTTAAACGTCAGTAACTATGCATTGATTTTTCATAGTGTCAGAAGGTGTTTTGAAGGGCTATCCCTTAATTTTGGATGTGTCCTCATTTCTGATTCTGCGATTGTGGGCAGCCACAAACTGTCGGGAAATGTCCACCTTTTTGAACTAGTTATGTTGCATGTGTTAATTTTTTCTTGTCAGCTGGCCTGTAAAATGGTGAAGCAGCACTGCCCAGGGAATGTTCAAGTGGAGTTTCGGCGCTCCCAGGCCTGTGTCCCTTGGCCTTCCCCTTGTTGCTTGCCGTTAGCGGGCATTGTTGGGAAGCCGTAACAAGGCTGGGGCTGTTGCTTATAAGGCGACCTTTGCTTCCCAGTCTTGCTAAATTTAACACTTCCCTTTGTCAAAGCATTTGTGGGGTTTTCTCTCTGTGGATTTTTGGTCAAAAAAATTTAAGTGTTTCCAGCAACTAGGAAGATATTCTTGTCAGAAAAAGAAAGCCCTTTCTCAGTCATAGAACAGAAACAACCCTACATGGAAGGCCAAAGAGGGAAGTAGGAAAACATGAAGAAGGTGTAAGAGACCTTCTTTTCTAGAATACTTACCTAGGGAATTTGAGGTTTTTCTGGCTTTGTCTAGGGCAATTTCAAAATCTCTGGCATTTGGGGTCACCAAGCGATTCAGGATTGAACTCTATGACTGAGTAGCATTACTGATGCCACCTTGGTTTACTATAGCTAGACTCATAGACTACAAAAGGAAAAAATGCCCAAGCTCACAAAATCTAGATTTCTACCCAGTTTAGGCCCAGTGGAAGAATTTGGGCCATTTTGGTAGCCGTGGTCAGAAAAAATCATATTGTTCCTTTGTTGAAATCAATAAATTGTTAGGAATTTGTGACTAGCCACCAGTATGTTGTGTGGAGGAGTGAGAGATTATTATGAAGTTTTAGCTTAACTGTACCAGCTTCTTCAGGGAAGGAGTAAAATTCAAAGTTTCTACGTTGTCCCTACTTCTGAGCATGAGTCACTGGGGACTGTGTTTTTTCACAAGTCTATGATTAAACCAGCCCTGGTTCCTGGGATTTCAGTCTGTATTTTAAGTAAAATGCAGATTTTGATGAAAACCGTGTGTTCAGTTTTCTTAACTTTTTTGTGGTGGTGTATCCTGCTGAAATTTCAGCATTTAGCCCAGCATTAGATTCTACTTCATTCTCTGGCTGGAGAGCTGAGGCATCAGGTTTCCTCAGGAGTCAGCACTAGGCTCTGTCTTGATGATCTTTATATATCAGTTTTTTTAGGAAGGTAACTTCACAGTGTAACTCATTTAAACTTCTATGAATGTACAAACCTTAAAGTAGACAAAGAGAAATATGTAGTCCATTTAGAGAGAAGTGACTCATGTAAGACATTTTCTGTGAAAGGCTTTTGATTAATTACTTCCTGGGAAACAATTAAAATGCGTTAGGGCTCTTTTTCTCACACCCCGTGCATTTTATGTGGGACAAAACATTTTAATCTTTATGTATTGTGCAGTCTCCTTTAGTACTATTTTGATTTTGTTTTGGAAACTTAAAAAGATTCCAGAACGGGGCCTAAACTGATTAAAAGGATTAGTACAAATTGCAACTGGAGTTCTCAAAAGAAGGAGCATACTTTTCATGAGTAACTTTTTATGATTAAACACCTTCAATTTACTTACTTAACTGAGCAGCTAATGACCTACTAGAATAGAAGCTCATCCCGTATGTCTCCTGTATCTCCATTGCCAGGGGTCCAATGTGCTTAGGCTTGAGTTTCATAAATGCTGCAGCCCCGTAATGGGCTGTCTTAATGAAAGTACTAGAATTGCTTTTTTTATAATCTTTAAGTGGAGTGGGGACACACTTTCTGATCTTTGTACTAATTAATTTCGAAGTTAAAATTGATGAATTTTTATATTTTGAGCATCCAGATGGATTGTTACTTGAACAAACATAACTAAGCAATTTTTTTGCTGCATGTCTCAATTGTTTGGGAGAAGGAAGAATGCCTTATTTTAGTTTTGAATCACTTTTATAAAGAAGGTGTAACGCAAAACTTAGACTGGTAATAAAACATATGCCAGATTTAAGAATCACTGCTTGGTAATTTGTCGTTTTGGTTTGCTTGCAAGCAAGACAGCACACACGTGGGGGTGTCCGAGTCATTAATTTCATTTTCAAAAGGAATTAGAGGAAAATAAAATAAACTGGAATGAGATATGAGATGTTGAAATGTAACTGCAACAAAAATCTTTGTAATTACCATTGTTTTATGTTGGCAGGGTTTGTGTGACTCCTCTTCTGCTAAAATAGCTTAGTAAGTAAGCCTTGTCAGTTCGATTCATGCATTACCAAAACATAGTTAACTTACACTGAAATTGACTCCTTTTAATAAACTGGAGGTATCTCCAAAACTAGATAGCATTTCTCTTTCATACTAACGCAGAATAATGTACAGTAGTGGATAAGCATTTTTAATCTCATGAAAGCATATTAGTTTTCTACTTTTTCTCTTGAAGGACTAATGATTTACCACAGTAGTTTTTTTTTTTTTCAGCTTTTTGATGGCAGTGTCAAAACAGTATGCATTTCATTGATAACCTCTAGTGCAAACGGAGGAGAAACTTGCAGGCAGGTTGTCGATTTTGCCGCTCACATGCCCTTTCTCTGTTCCGCCCACAGCGCAAGTGGACGTGCTGTCCGCCGCGCTGCGCGCTTCCAGGCTGGACGCTCGCGAGGAGGCCAGTGATGCAGAAAACAGAAGTGATGTGCAAGATGAGTTGGGTGTAAATGAGCTACCAAACTGTAAAATAAATCACGACGCCTCCGTGCCTTTAATCAGCGATGCTGTTGAGGTAATGCACTCAGTAAAGTGTTTATCCAGTGAAAATAGTTCCAATCAGAAGTCTTGTTGGGGGAATAGTTGTAGCTAATCACTTCCTAATTAGTACATTCTGTCTGTTGCTGATTTCGTCAGCTCTCTCTTCAGCATAAAGTAAAAGTACTTGTCACCACATCCTGTCTTTGTGACATGAGTGTCATGTGCAATGCTTGGAAATGTAAATCCCTGTCCTGTCTACATGACCATTTGAGTAGCCTCAATGTGTTAACGTAGCTCACTGCAGTGAAATAGTCTTACTGGAAACAAAGCCCTTTATCAAGAATAATTAACTCTTCCCTTTTCTTTTTGGAGAGGTGCTTTGTTTCTGATCGGACCATTTCACTGCAGCAAGCAACACAGTATTCTGAGCAGAAGATCGGGACTTGAGGCCATGTTGCGGAGGGCCAGTGGCATTATCTGGACTCTGGAGTGTGAGGGTGGGTACTGTTACTAGCATCATCTTCGCTGTGTACTTGGAGCTGTTCTGTGTGATCCTTCCCCGGTTTCCTACCACACCCCCCGCCCCCAGCCAGCATCATGTGGGATCGGTATTTCTTACCCTTGTTTAGAGAAACACGGGGAAGGAATAGCACCACTGGTTGCCAGAAGCAGCCGGTCACAGATCAGAGGGCTTGAGTGATAAACTCAGGGCAGAGTGCCTGCATACACACCGGGGATGGAGAAGGTTCTTGGAGCGTTAGTGGATTTCTGTTTTGTTTTTTGTTAGGTGACAGCTGGTAGAGTTAGAAATCTTATATAATACCCGTGCTTCAGAATGAAACCCTGGCCACCTGTCATCATTGGAGATTCGAATGCTATGATATTTCTGCATTTTAGAAGGTGTTTTGTTTGTTTTGGAGTTTTTTTGAAGCTGGTAAAAAAGTATATTTGTGAAATTAGAAATAGCCAACAGTAGAAGAAAAACTACATAGGACATCCCATGGCCTCTAAAACATTGACCAAAAGCACCCTCTATAACATAATAATACTATCTTATAAGTAAGCTAATTTTAGATATTGGAACCATTTCAAAATTACTTCTGAATTTACATAGTTTAATGAGTTTATTCTGGAATTCATTTTCATATGTTTAGCAACCTATTCCGCAAGTTTCTCTCAAGTCGGGGGTGTGGGGGGATTTCTTATGAGGTCTTAGGCATGTTTATAAGCTTTTAAAAGCTTGAAGAATTTATATGTATTTATATCTCCGGGTAGTCTTGAAAGGTAAGTAACTTAGGAAGATGGTTTAAGTGAAGGACACTTACAGAAGGGATAGTTCTTCACGTAAATATTTTTTCCTAACAGAATATGGACTCTGCCCTTCGCTATATTCATAATGATTCGGACTTGAGCACCAACAGTAGTTTTAGCCCTGATGAGGAGAGGAGATCCAAAGTACAAGTAAGTGACAACAAGTCTTTATGTGGTGAGGGTCTTGTTAATTCCTCTTCGAAACCCATTTCCCACCAAATTTGGTCCTCCTTACAGTGAGCTTTTTAAAAATAAGACTAGTATATCATACTTACGATAAGAAAATTCAAATAGAGTAGAATACAAGCAGAAATCTTCCTCTTCTCACACCTGCGATCACATTCTTCAGAGTAACCACAGACCACAACTCCTTCGTTCCTTCCTTCCGAGAGCGAGAGGGGGAGGGGCAGAGGGAGAGAGAATATTAAGCAGGCTCCTCACCAGAGCAGAGCCTGACGTGGGCCTCGATCTCATGACCGAGATCACGACCTGAGCCGAAATCAAGAGTCGGACACTTACCCAACTGAGCCACCCAGGCGCCCCGTATATTTCTTTATAAACATTTTATGGGTACAGAAACATGCATACGTACCCCTTTTTGTCTGTCAAAGACAGAATCATGCCATCATACCTAGGTATTTCATGGTGCCTGATTTGCCAAGAATTACAAGATAAGCTCAATTTCAGAGATGAAAGTATGAAAAAGTGTCCCAAAGCCATATAAAGTGCCGTCAGTGGCAAGTTACACTCCAGTTTCAGAAATTTTAAATGTGGGAAAATATGCTTGTGGAATATTTGGAGTATGATCGTTCGTACCTTGCCTCTGTGTGTGTGTTGCTCTTCCCATATGCTTACTGCCCGTGCCCACCGGAGCAGCACCGTGTCCCTGCAGTGTGGCCTCTGTCTTGAGAACTACCCTCCGAAGTTCCTTATGATGCCTCCAGGTTCAGTCCTGGGACCTTACATGCGGTGCCGTGCTCATGGTGATTATGGGGGGGTTTCCTAGGTCAAATGGTATATGTTTTTCTTTTTGCTCTCTTTATTAAAAATGGAATTAGTATTCACAGTGTTGTAAACATGCTTTTCACCACTTATATTGCAGACGTATTTTCAAGTTCATAAAAACAGATGGTCTCATTCTCTTAATGAATTTATTTCAATTTTAGTTCATTTTTTATAAATAGGTAAGTTTATATAGTTCAGAATTCAAAAGGTACAGAGGCATTCGGTGATACTTCCTTCTCGGTTTTCTCCTCCAGCATCCATTTGGCTTTCCCCAAAGCAGCCAGTTTTGTTTCTTTTGTATGTTCTGCCAGAGCTGTGTTATGTATATGTTAGCAAGATTGTGTAGATATTCTTCTTTTCTTCACATTTATATGAACGGTTAGGTGTTTATTCACTTTAAATTTTTATAGGTAATAGCTCAATTTCCATCAAAAGGTGGGTGTTGTTTTTATAAAATCCAGGTTGGTGATAGTCTGCCCATTTTATCACTTGACCATCCTTGCCAGCGTTGAGAGGTGCTGGTCTTACTGTTGATGCATCTCTTCAATTTACTAATCAGTTCCAATCATCTTCTAAGATCTTACTATTCTTAAGATCTTACTATTTTTCTTCTGGAGTGGCTTCTTTTATTTATATATATTTTTTCCTTAGCATGTTTTTCCTACCTCTTCTCAGTAGATCCCTGAAACTGTGAAACTGGGTTTTTCTCTGCTTGTTGAGATGCTGTGTTAAATTCTTCATCTATTTAAAAATAAGTTTACTCAATTTATGCCTAGATTGCTAAAATGAATCCCTGCCGTGTGTCTCTCTCCCACAGGATGTTGTGCCTCAGGCTCTGTTAGATCAGTATTTATCTATGACTGACCCGTCTCGTGCACAGACGGTCGACACGGAGATCGCTAAGCACTGTGCATACAGCCTTCCCGGCGTGGCCCTGACCCTGGGCAGGCAGAACTGGCACTGCCTGAGAGAGACCTACGAGACGCTCGCGTCAGACATGCAGGTGAGTGAGTGTGGATGGATGGCACAGTGATGTGCCCTTCACAACCTAGGAGGGTTTCTGTTCATGTTCCAGAAAATACTTGGTATTACAGGAAATCATGTGCAGAAGAGCTTTTGAAAGTAATACCCAAGAGCTTGCTTTTTGTATGGTCCCAAGTTCCACCGTTTTGAAATTATCATTGCATTTGACGTGCCTAAGTTCCTAACTTACAAATATGTTATTGTGTGAAGTTTATACGTAGATTGATTCTAGACACAGTGTTATAAATGCTGCTTTTATTTTCTTAAAACTTAAATAGAACTGTAGTAGCATTAGCACTGCTGAACTCTGGGCGCTGGTTCAGTGAGTGTTGCAGTAAAGGTGGGGGAAGGTGTGTGTGTGCGTTTGTGTGTGTGCATGTGTGTGTGCACGTGCGCACGTGGGCATGCTCTTCTCCAGACCTACACACTACCAACACCATCCCTCTGAAAGAAAACAAAATGTGAAATGTTGACCCTAGGTCATCTTGTCTGGATATCTGTGTGATTTTGTGGCTCTTTCCCTAGATCTTGTTGACTTAACTTCCCCTGCCATTAAGTCTGGTTTCTATGTCATACACCAAAATTTTGCCCCTCTTCCACAAAATCTCTTTGGTGAAATTAATCCTTTGGTTTTTAAGAAAGCAGTCTGGTTAGACTAATTTATACTGAGATATGAATCATTTTCCCTTAAATGTGTTAGTAATTACTGCATTTTTCAAGGAATTTGTGCTGTTGACTAAGCAAGGTAGGAGTTGGAAATAATCTTGAGAGAACATAGTTTAAGTTCCTTCTTTGACCTATGAGGTTAGGAACAGGGTCCGGGTGAAGTGAATTTATCCTGTGTTCGCACACTTCTTCACCAGTAGAACTGGGCAGGGGACAACAAAGAACCACTCTGCAGAGTACAGTATCCTCCACATTGGTGGTTTTCCATCTTCATTCCACAGGCCTTTCAAGGTTCCTGTGGGGTGTGCACCTCAGGGCCCCTGGTGACTAGGAAGGACCTGGATGGGCAGGGCTTCTTGCCTCTATCCTCCCTCTCCCCTACCCTCCATCAGAGCAGCTCTGCCTTCATCTGCTTGATATGTTGAATGTGGGTATAAAATTTTATTTCAAGAATAGGGTCTAGTGTTTGGGATTGGGGATAAAACCCTTGCTGTAAATGGCTTCTTGGCAAGTAGAGTGTTTTAAGCTAAGTAACAAAGTAAAAAATTTTAAACTAAAGCAACATGAAGAAAAAGATGTTTTTAATGTAAACTTGCCTACATTTTCCTGTTCTTACATTTCCTTAATTGCCAGTTCCTTAAAAACAAGTTTCATTATTGTTTTTTTTACCCATAAGATAGACTGTACAAGAATCAGAAGGGGAACAGTCAAGCAAGGATGATACTACCCAGCCTTTGATGGATGTGGGACATCTGTAAATTGGGCATCCAGTGTTCAGAGAACTACAAAGACTATACTCTTAGTGATTTCCAAGTTTTTTTCCCTTTGTAAATGAAAGAATAATACGCACCGTGCAGGGCTTTGAAATTTCTCTGCCAGTTTTTGAGACATAGCAGGCATTTAAAGCTGAGTGTCTATTCTTATCATTACTTCTGTTCCGATTTAATTGTTTGAGATTGGTAACATTTAGATCTAAGTTAGGCTTCATACACTGGCTGAGAGGTAAAGCACTTGGTACTGTGTGCTTCACTTACAAATGCAGTCATCTTTATCTCTGCAGTGGAAGGTTCGAAGAACATTAGCCTTCTCCATCCACGAGCTTGCAGTTATTCTTGGAGATCAGCTGACAGCTGCAGATCTGGTTCCAATCTTCAATGGATTTTTAAAAGACCTCGACGAAGTCAGGATAGGTGTTCTTAAACATTTGCATGATTTTCTGAAGGTAACTTTTAAATTTTTCTGCATAAAAACAGACTAAAGTTCCACTGTAGAAGTTTTGGTTTTCTGTTCCCACCAAGATTAAGTTTCCATATGTTCTACGTAAGAAAATGTAGCCATGAGCTGATAGTAAGCTGTAACTTAAAAAAAAAAAAAAAAAAGAGTCCCATTCTGATCACTTTTGCTGGTGTCCTTTGAATTTTTAATTTTAAAATAATTACACTTAATTTCAATTTTACTTGTTTATTTTTAAAGATTTTATTTATTTATTTGACAGAGCACAAGTAGGGGGAGCAGCAGACAGAGGGAGAGGGAGAAGCAGGCTCCTCGCCGAGCAGGGATCCCGATGCGGGGCTCGATCCCAGGACCCCGGGATCATGACTTGAGCCGAAGGCAGCCGCTTAACTGACTGAGCCACCGAGGCACCCCTAAATTTCATTTTTGAACACTGTTAGATCATGATTACAAGCCCTTTTTTTTTTTTCAAAATTATTGAATTAAATACATGTACAAAAATTCCATGAACATTTAAGTTTGGAGGCTTTATGTGATATTTTAGAAGTCCTTATCTTAGGAGACGGTATGGATCTCTGGTCTTGGAGGTGAACAGCTGTGATCTTACGACTTGTTAGTCCTGGAATACTATTGTTTCTTAGACTTTAACCTTGAAGTTGGCTCTTGTAGTTTGAAGTTTTGAGGTACAGAAGTCGTATAATCCTACTTTGAAAAAGCATTGGTACTGTGTTAGTATATTTTATACAGATCATACTGAAATTTGTCAGCCCGTCCCATTAGTGTGCCGGTGTGGCTTCCCCTGCCCCCCAGTTCAGAATCCAGTCAGGAATTGCATATTGAATGTGAATATCGCATCTCTTTAGCCCTCTTAGATCTAGAACAGTTTCCTAACTTGTGTCTTTAATGTCATCGGCATCTTTGAAGAGGCGAAGCTGGTTGCTTTGCAGATGCCCCTCAGTCTGAGGGCGGCTACACAGTGAGAGTCAGGCCGCGGGTTTGCGTGGCAGGCGCGTCGCCTGTGTGTGCGCCATCCCCGCGTCACTGGCAGTGTGACCCCGGCCACGTGATCATGGTGGCGTCGGCTCGCTCCCTCCATTGTAAAACGACCTCTCGCCTTCCTGATTAGTGATTACTTGGGGGACGATACTTGCAAACTCTGAACACCTTCCCCCCCCGCCGCCCCCGAGTCTTTCACCCAGAGCTTTTGTATCCGTGCGTCTATACACGGTTCTCGCCTCAATCTGGTGTTACTGTGTTGGTTGTAAAATACCAATTTTCTGTTTTTATAATTCCTTCTCCATTTATTAGTTGGCATTCTCATGTAAAGCTAATATTTTCCTTCTTTCCCTCCCCCTTCATGGAAGTTTTTTTAGTGTTAAGTGTGAACTCTGGAATTTTTTCTGTTCAGTGTAATCCATTTCTGTCCTTGGTTCTGAGCATCAGTTTGGCTAACAGGAACCCCTGAAAGCCGCCTCCTGGGCCCCTTTGATCTGTCCCCTCACGTTAAGCACAGCCTTCCTTCCCTTCTACCCCACCTTCTCCTTTCTCTGCCCCAGCCCCGAGTCAGCTGTTTTCTGGTGGCGAGCGGTAGTTAGAACCACGCCCCAGGCCCTGGATATGCCCCTGCTCCCTGGGGGGTCATCTCCTTTCCGCCTTCTCGGGGGACAGGAGCTGGGAGCGGTTTTTTGGTTTGGGTTTTGTTTTTTTTTAAAATTACTGAGTTCATACTGATAACTCAGCTTCCAGTCCCACACCGCTTCCTTTCCTTTTTCCACTTCCTATTTTTTCTTTTCTCTCACGGTAAAAACTCTGTTCTTAATGTGAACATACTCAGTCGTTCACTCAGTTCCACAGCATACGTAGAGTTTCAGAATTACTCCACCAGTATTAATTCTAACATCAACTCAACCAAAAAAACGTTCAAGATTTCCTTCAGCACTTTGTCCTTTAGAACATACCCCATGAACATGTATAGTCAGAGTACTTTTTTTCTGCGTGATTCTTAACTGATATACAGTTAGGTTTGTTTGTTTCTGTTTATATCAAATTTTAGGGTTTTCCGTCCTTGCTGACCATAAACCTCCTTTAAAATGGCTATAGAGCAATTATTGGGATAAATGTTTTTTCACTCACCAAATATTTATTGAGCACCTACCATGTGCCGTCATGGTGCCAGGCACTGGGCTCACATGTGTGAGTAAGAGCACATTACTGTCTTCAAAGAGTTCACAGTTAACCAGGGTGTCCTATGAACATAGTGGGTCAGTCCTGCCATATATCTGTGACCAAGGTACTGTAGGGTTCAGAGGAGGTCACGTATGGCTCAGGGAACAAATATTTCAAAAAAGGATAAGACTCTTGAAGGTAAATGGGATTATCGGGGAAAATGGCCTTAATGTCAATTTTAAAACAGTCTGAGAACTATCTGTTCTCAGAAGAATTAACTATATTATAGTTGTTTTCAAGCAGTCTAGTAAGAGTAATAATGCCTATATCTTAGCGAATATTTTTATTTTGTCACTTCAGCTTCTTCATATTGACAAAAGAAGAGAGTATCTTTATCAACTTCAGGAGTTTTTGGTGACAGATAATAGTAGAAATTGGCGCTTTCGAGCTGAACTGGCTGAGTAAGTTCTAACAGTTTATTGGACTATGTTTTGGAGGGGTATTTACTTACTTCATCTTTACCTTTTTGGGATTTGTTCATTACTTTGTGTAGATACAAGTTTCTGTCTGGTGTTCTATAAAACATTTCTTGAAGTGCAGGTCTTGCCAGCAGTGAATTTTCTCAGCTTTTTTTTTTTTTTAAACCTATTTCACCCTTTTTTTTCTTACTGTGGTAAGATTTAGTACACTCATAGTGTTGTGCAACTATTACCATTATCTAGTTTAGAGCATTCCATCCTCCCAAAAGGAACACCATGCCCTTTCACAGTCATTCTTCATCCCTCTGTGCCCTCAACTTCTAGCAACCATTACTTTACCCTCTGTGGGTTTGCCTATTCTGAACATATAAGTGGAATTTTAGAACATGTGGCCTTTTGTCTCTTGACTTCTCAGCATGTTTTCAAGATTCATTTGTGTTGTAACATACGTCAGAACTTTATTACTTTTTATGACTAATACTCCGTTGTATACCACTTTTTAAAATTCATTCATGCCTCGGTGCATGTTTGGGTTGTTTCTACATTTTGGGTTGATGTGACTGGTGCTGTTATGAACATTCATGTTCAAGTTTTTCCTTGAACACCTATCTTCACCTATTTTGTGGTGGATTTGATGGATTTTTTGATAATTCTGTTTAATTTGTTGAGGAGCCACCAAACTATTTTCCACAACAGTTCTACCATTTTACATTCCCATGAGCAATGTACAGGGATTCCAGTTTCACCACATCTTCCCCAACACTTGGTGTTTTCCTTTTTTTAACTAATTATAGCCATCATTATAGTGATTGCGAGGCAGTGTTTTGTGGTGATCTTGATCTGCATTTCCTTAATGACTGGTGGTGGTTAACACCTTTTCATATGCTTGTTGACCATTTATATATAATCCAGAGAAATGTCTATGCAAGTCCATTGCCCATTTTTTAATTGGGCTGTTTGTCTTAAATTGGGTTGAGTTGTAAGAGTTCTTTATGTATTCTGGATTCCAGACCTCACTTGCATTTTTAAAAGATATCTTTGCTGGGTATATAATTGGGACTGACAGTCTTGGTTGTTTTTTGTTGTTGTTTTCTTTGTACATTAAAGGTTCACTTCACTGAGTTCTGGCTTGCCAGGTTTTTGACTGAAAATAGGCACATCTCTTCTGTCATTAGTGTGGAGGGTTGGGTCCATCTAATCAGGAGCAAGCTGGGTTTGGGCTTTGCTGTTGCTATGATTGCCTTCAGTGCCCAGTAAGCTTTGCTGCCTCTCACCATGGCCTGCCGGTGCCTTTTGCTGAGGGTGGGAGCCGGGGTGCCAGGGGGCTTCCTCCTGTGTTTGTGTTCCACCCTCAGCTTGCAGCTTTCGTGCAGCCTTGTAAACCGGGTGGGGGGGGGGTCTCTTCCCCTCCCCCAGCTGTAGACCGTTGTTAGGACATGGTAGGCTTGTGCTGGGAAAGGGGAGAATCTCTGTTATTTCGGTTCAGCCTCAGTCTCTGGGAGGCCCTGGGTCCCTGGGCTTTCTCAGAGTCTTCCCCTATCCTTGTATCATCCAGTCTCTGCCTTGTATCTGTGGTCCATGTTGGGCAGAGGTTCCTGCCCCTCCTCAGCGGGAGGAGACTTCTGTTGTTATCAGTGTAGGGTCTTTGCTCAAGGTTTGCTGCCCCCCTCTCTGGGAGAGAGTTCTTCTCTTCTGCCCCCCGCTGCAGTGTGTTTGCCTATGCCCATGGGTGAATGGGCTTTGCTGCCCTTCTGTCAGCACCGTAAGGCTCAGGCTCAGTAAAGAGAAGGGCCCAGGGGAGTGTGTGGGGCTTTATGCCTGTCTCCCAAGATGTGTCACTCATTTCCTGCCTACTGAATCACAGCCTCTCTCTGGTTTGCTTTCCTGACCCCAGACTTTCTCATGTGGTGTGCACCCAGGGGAGGCCAGCAAGAAGGTTCGCAGTGTCAGAAAATGGAATCGATAAATGTGCCTCTCATCTCTGAGTGTTTTATATATATGTACAAGCGCATGGGTCATTGTTATGTATATTCATGCTTTTGGTTTACTCCCTACTGATTACGAATGTAAATAGTCTTAAACATAAAATCTGAAAGGCAAAAATCTCATTCGTATCAGAGGTATTTTTTCAAGGGCATTGTTGTGTCTACTCAAAGTAGACTGGTGGACGCGGTCAGTCTTCAGGTCTTCCCAGATGTAATAGGAACAGTCACTAGAGGATCTCTTCATTTCTGTTATCCCTAATAAACGTATCATTCATTCCCTTAGAAGCTGTTCAGAGCCTTGACAGATACACATCAGGCTACCTAATATTGCTAGAACTTCTTATCTAGGAAACTGATTTGTAGATGGAAGTTTCTTAGCATTCTGAACAGTTACTGTGGAAAAAATGTGTTTCATGTCCCAATTGAACATAGTAGGAAATGCATTGCTCTGTCTCAGTCCCTGTGGACACAAAATTCTACATTTGTTTTCCTTACGTTCTGAGGGGAAGAGATACTTCTTGAACTTGCATAGTGTTTAAATGCATTTCCAGATACATACAGACTAGAGAGAGCTCTATGCATGAGAGACCACGTTAATCACTAGTCTTTGCATGTGTTCATCTTACAAATAGTATCCAGTATTACAAATTATTCAGATGATTAACCTATTTTCATTTATTTTAAAATTTTAATTATATTTTTATTTTTATAATTCACTTTTATAGACAGCTGATTTTACTTCTAGAATTATATAGTCCCAGAGATGTTTATGACTATTTACGTCCCATTGCTCTGAATCTATGTGCAGATAAAGTTTCTTCTGTTCGTTGGATTTCCTACAAGTTGGTATGTGTTACAATTTTTACAATTTTAGAACTGTACACTATTCAAGAAGATCCTAGAACTCCTCACTTCTCTGTGTTCCCCCTCCTAGGTCAGTGAGATGGTGAAGAAGCTGCACATGGCGACGCCCCCCACGTTTGGAGTGGACCTCATCAATGAGCTTGTAGAAAACTTTGGTAGATGTCCCAAGTGGTCTGGTCGGCAAGCCTTTGTCTTTGTCTGCCAGGTAAATAAAGACTTAACCATTTCTATCTGTGAAGCTTCATTTCTTCTTCCGCTCTTTGCCTTTCGACACCCTCTTTCTTATCCTTAAGGAACAGAGTTTTGCATCTGGCTCTTCATAGGATCACCTGTTCCCTAGAGTAGGTGCCTGCCTGGCTCATCCCACAGCCATCCACTAGGGGGTGCTCGGGGTCCATGGTACGTGTATAAATGCATGTGACTGTGCACACTGCACACTCCAGGACTCAGTGGAACCATTAAAAAACTGTAGGGACTTAAAATTATGTCATCTTAGTTTTGAGTTCCCAAGTGTCTGGAATATTGGTTTAAAAAGTAACTAAAATCTGGAGTACTTCGGTTGTTATTAAAAGATAATGTTCGCCCGTATTCTGGTTTGGTAGACTAACTTGGCAAATGTAAAGCAGCTGTTTGTCTTCCCCAGACTGTCATTGAGGACGATTGCCTTCCCATGGACCAGTTCGCCGTGCATCTGATGCCACATCTGCTAACCTTGGCGAATGATAGGGTTCCAAATGTTCGAGTGCTGCTCGCAAAGACATTAAGACAAACTCTACTAGAGAAAGGTGGGTGGGTGGCTCTGTTAGGAAAACCGTATGTGGCGGGGAGGAGGCGTGTAGACTGCATGGAGGGAGAAGTGTTGTATGTCCACAAACATAATGTGATAGGAGAAGATCTGTGAGTTGTTAATGGGGGTTCCCCCTAAGAGAGGACACAGATTGGAGGACAGGGACATGTTCGCCTTTCTGCCCCGGGGGCATTTCTTTTATAATTGCAGACTTAGTTTGAGAGATTGGATAGGTCACTTAAGACGGGAGGAAAAACTCTTGCCTTTGGTCTGCCCCGCATGACGTGTGTTACTGCTGTTCTAGGCCAGGAGGCATGTTTGTGTGTCCTCCTTCTCTTCATTCTTTATGCAGAAGACAGACGCCCCCTACTACTTGCTCTGCTGCACATCCTAATAAGCTGCTCAAGATTTAGCTTGTTTTATTTATTGTCATCCCCCCAAAATACCTAATAAATATCATTTAATGCATGAACTCGTGAACGAAGCACAGAAAGGTTTGTAATAGACGTCTAAGAATACGGGTAAATGAATACTGCTTTTTTCTCCTTTAGAATTCATTTATCGTTGTTTTAATAGCAATTACAAGGAAATGGCTAGAGAAGACTGGTTTTTAGTCATGTGTGATTGGTATTTGGGGTGTTTTTACTGAGTGAATTAATAGCTATCACAAGTATAAGTTTTAATGTATTTATTAGCTTCGCTACCATTTAGTCTGTTCTAAAAATAATCAAGATAAATCTAACTCTCTTATGTTTGGGGATTTTTTTCATATCACACAAATCAATTCAGATTACCATTTATAATTCAACGTAGCTTGTGTTTATACTTTATGACTGAGAACTTCGTATACTTGCACCTGATAAAACTGAATTGTTAAACTAATTTTATTTGTAATCTGCACTTTGCGTCTCCAGAATATTTCTTAACCTCTGCCGGCTGTCATCAGGAAGCCGTGGAACAGACCATCGTGGCTCTTCAGATGGATCGGGACAGTGATGTCAAGTATTTTGCAAGCATCCACCCTGCTAGTACCAAAATCTCTGACGATGCCATGAGCACAGCTTCCTCAACCTACTAGAAAGCTGGAACCTCACTGTCCTCCTCCTTCCTCGGGAGCCAAGGGCTGACAAGTGCCCCACACGTGTGATCTAGGACAGCCTCTGGGAGGAGGAGAGACCTTCCTCTCTCGCAGACTCAATTGCAGGTGCAAGTTGCCTACACTGATACCAGGGATTTTAAGAGTCAAGAGAAAGTACAGTAAACACTATTATCTTATCTTGACTTTAAGGGAAAATAATTTCTCAGAGGATTATAATTGTCACCGAAGCCTTAAATCCTTCTGTCTTCCTGACTGAATGAAACTTGAATTGGCAGAGTATTTTCCTTATGGAAGGGAGGAGATTCCCAGAGACCTGCATTGCTTTCTCCTGGTTTTCTTTAACGACAGATAGATGGAGTGGCAGCCAGAAGGCGGCTGTGAGCCAGGATGTAAAGAGATCTTCAGTATTAGCCCGCACTGTCCCCACGCAGGCAAGGACCTGTTGGTTCTGTGGCCAGCTGCCCAGCCCAGCCCTAAGTGTGAATAGTTTTTGGCGTGTGTAAATGCGAAAGGAGATTTGGGGGGGGGGGAGGGGTTCTCCTAAGGGCTTGATGCTAACACTAAAGTAGAATCTGATTTTAACTCTTAAATGCAGCATATTGCTGTGCACATTTACAGAACGTTGGCTGAGTATCTATGTCCTGATTTTCTTCATGCTGGTCATGACCTGAAGGAGTTTATTGGCACGTGTGCTGTATGTCAGGTGTTTTTAACTTGATCATGATCAGCTCTAGGTGCAGCTTTCCTTCCCATGCTGTACATACCTGTGACCACTCTCAGGAGTGCTGCGGTCTTTAATCATGCTGTCTAAACTGTTGTGGCACAAGTTCTCTTGTCCAAATAAAATTTATTAAGATCTATAGAGAGAGATACACACTTCTGATTGTTTTCTAGATGTCTGCAAATAAATGCAATTTGTGACCTGTATTAATGATTTAGTATGAAGTGGGAAAACTAGATTAAAATATTTGTCTTTTAACTAGTTTAGTAATTTCTTTGCTATCTGCACGTGCCACCCAGGGCCAGGTTCTGTTGTTCGGCGGCAGTCCCTGCAGGACAAGTGTGCGCCAGGCGCCTGGTCCTGGAGCCCGGCCCCCAGGGGCAGGTCCGGGGCGGCGCTGGCTTGCGCTGACCGCGAGCAGGGGGGCCGCCCTGTCTGTGGCTCGGGGTCCGGCCGCCCGGCCAGGCCGTGCGCACTGCTGTGAGGACAGAGCCGGCCTGCTATGCCCGGCTTGGAGGACCGCGGCCCGAGTCCCCGCGGTGCCTCTGTGAGCCTTGGTTTCCGGGACTCAGGACTCGCCAGGCAGGGACTCCTCAGGGTCGCGTGAGCAGGTCAGGCCCCCTCGAGGCTGCTTTCTGTACGGACGATTATGGAGAAGGCCTGGGTCCCTTCCCCTCGCCTGCCAAGCGGGGCCGGGGGGCGGCTGTGGGGAGCAGGCTCTCCATGACAAAGCTCTGCTCACACACGCTACGCCCCGGAATTACCGTCGTATCAGCTCCGCGACCGTGTACACCAAGCGCCGCACGTTGTCGTAAGCGGGGGCCATAACTGTCTATTTGGGGATCAAGAACTGGAATTTAGGGGCCGCCGCTGGCCAATTCCGCACTGGCCTTCCCACCTTCCCGCCACGGCTCGCACGCGCTGGGGGCGCCCGCCGGTGCCTGGTGGGGGAGGGCATCCGGGTCCCCCATGGCAGCGGCGCGCCCAGAAGCCCGGGGCGCTGTCCCGCGGCCCCGGCAGTGAAAGCAGGCCCAGTGTGCGTGGTCGCTAATGAACTCAGTTTGGGGCAAGGTGCACGTGGCGCTGCTCTGATTCTCGGCTGTTCGCTCCCTGCGGAGGGCTGGCGGGGCGACACGATCGTCGAAGGGAGAAAAGGGAGGAAAATGGACGATTCAGCAATTATTTGACATCCTCCAGGAGGCAAAACAGCAAACCAGTTAGTACTCAAGGCATTTTCATAATCGGAAAATGAGTAAAAGATTTATTAAAAGTATTTACTATAGGGTAGCTAATCTTAGAAAATACTCTGTGATTTGGGGACTTTTGTGTGAGGTAGACAAAGGTGAAGAGGCAAACGGTCTTTTCCAAAAGCTAGAGCTTATTCCCCAAGCGGTCACAGTGGGGCATTTCCCCTGCCCTCCGCTGCCTCCCACCCCAGGGCCCGACCCTCCCTCAGCAGCCTGCTTGGCTCTGAGTCGTGCTGCTCTAAAGGATCTCAGCTGCTCCGCCCCTTATCTGGGAGAAATCTCTTTGGGAGCTTTTGTGAGTGTTCAGAGTGTCCCTTTACCCAGCCCCCAGGCCACCAGACCTCTCATTTGCTTAGTGGAATGGTTTGGGGGCCACCTTTTGGCTGTGATCTTTGTCTTTAAGTCTTGGAGATATTTCTGTGATGCCAGACCACTAGTTTTTCTGGAACTCTCTAGCTGAATTGGCAAGTGCTGACTTCCTGACTACCATGCAGATGCCCTCAGAGATATCCAGGATGTTGGCTTCCAGATACTTAGTTTGCGGGGCAGGAGGTCGGGTGCACAGTGTGTTACTGATTCTTTTCCTACCTGTTCGGTCCGGGCCCCACTTTGTGTTGGGCGAGTCTGTTTCCTGGCAGGCTGGAAGCTGAATATGCTAAAGGAAGCAGGTGGAAAATCCGCCTGCTGCAGCGTCAAGGAAACATGGATGCCTGAAACACCAGGCATGGCGTATTTGGGGAGCATTGGGGAGCAATGCTTCTTCACAGACGCAGCTCAAGGAGGGTGGGAGCTGGGAGCGGGGGCGGCAGGGTTTGAAACTGACCGTCTATAGGAAAAAGCGCCTCGGGCTCCGGGACACGCGCAATGATTTCCTTGTATCGTCATGTTTCCGTGCAAGACTCCAGGAGACAGAAGGGATGAGTGATGGGTGGAAAAGAAGGAAACTCCCAGCAACTCCAAACCAAGCAAACGGCCTCCCTACAATGAATAATCTCCTGACTCACAGCAGAGGAAAAGAAGTTGAGTCTGGAAATAAATGTAAGCAAGACTTTGTGGTTCTGTCTTCAGCCCTCCTCGTGCAAGGTGGAGAATGTCAAGAGCAGGGTGGATTCTTTTCCTAGAAAATTTGACAGCAAGGGATCAGATTTCACTCCAGGCAGCGTATGACACTGCTGTTGTAGGTTAAGTTCTGCCAAAAGAAATTTGGCAGATTTGATACTTGGGGTTTGTAGTGAGAAATTTCATCCTATAACTCTTTCACCCTGCCCGACTGTATTTAGCGTTAATGATACCCACAGTTGTTACTAACCGGAGCCGAGGCATCACTTGGGTAGTGTTTGTAGATGTTCCAGGAGGAAGCTGTGAGCATGGGTGTCCCTCAGCCTGGTCCAGTCCCCATGAGCTGTCCTAGCCTGGAGCTCACCAGCAGCCCAGCACTCAGACGACACAGAAGTTTGGGAACAAAAATAGTGGAGAAGAGGAAGTTTTATAGGGAAAGTTGCCTAGGCAGTCACTGACAGGAGGGCAAGCGGGACAGCCGCTTGAGGGGAGTCTCAGCTCCCCGGGGGCCACCCCCTGCCATTTAACTTCTGGCCTGCCACAGCGGGAGTGCACCCTCACAGCGGGTCCCCCCAGCCCACGAGAAAGTTCTCAGCAGCTCCCACAGAGGAAAGACAGTGCATGTGGTGCACGTATGTGCTGCCACCAGACTTGTCTTGGATGGCCATTTATTAGATTTTTTCTGGGGTATTTTGTTGTTTTGGCTTTTAAATAGTGCTAGCACAAGGTTGGTCATTCAGAATGCTGCCTTTCAAATGTTCATGTACATCTCAGTCACCTGGAATCTTGTCAAAGGGCAGATTCCGATCCAGCACTCCTAGCAAGAATCCAGGTGACGTTTTTAAGTACTAAGATCCTAGAAGAAGCTGTTGGTGTGGAATTTTACCTTTTCCAGATTAATTCTCCATAATTTTGATAGCTCAAATGAACTTAACAATTTGTAACATGCCTCCGTTTGTAACGGTTCTAGTGTCTGATCTGGGATCTGAAGGAGACATCCGACCGCCCGCAGGACCAGGGAGCCACCAGACGTAGGTGCCCACTGAGCCCCTAGAGCTTGCTGCGTTCCTCTTGCCACTGGAGGTGGTGGGTCCGTCTTTCTTAGATCCAGTCTTGCAGCTTTTGCATTATGAGCTTTCAAACTTTATTTGAGCATTATTTTCCTAGACTGGGTCTGACTTAAAAACCAGAATGAATCCAGATTTAACTGGGTCCAACCTGAAAATTGGATTGGGGCCAACGTGGAAACCTGACTGCGTCTGGGGTCAGACTAGGTCTAACCTAGCTGGACTGGGTCCAGTGTGAGACCTCAGATTTCAAATTTATTGTAAGGCTGAACAAGCAGGTTTACCTTACCAAGGATAATCTTGAGTACAGTGGCTACGGTGGACAATTTTTTTTTTTTTAAGATTTTATTTATTTCACAGAGTGAGCACAAGCAGGCAGAACGGCAGGCAGAGGGAGAGGGCGAAGCAGGCTCCCCGCTGAGCAGAGAGCCCAACGTGGGGCTCCATCCCAGGATCCTGAGATCATGAGCCGAAGGCAGACGCTTAACCAACTGAGCCACCCAGGTGCCCCTACAGTAGACAACTTTTAACCTAGATACGCTTATCCATTTCTAAGATGCCTAGAGAAAAACGGGTCCCAGCCAAGCCCTCCCCATTAAAAGTAGAGGGAAAATTATTTTTCCTCCCCTATGGTTTCTGGGGACCAGGAAGAGACCTGCTGGGACACCCCACCCACTCTGGAACCTGTAGATGGGATCCTGGGAAAATTGGCAGGAGCCAGCAAACCGTGAGAATTCTTTCTTACCACAGTCAGCTCTTCCATATCTCTGTGGTGCCCAGTCAAGAGAGGAAGCAAAAATGTGACCTTGTCTCTTCCTTTGCATATTCAGATTGGCAGGCAAAAAGCATTTGTTAAGAATTAGATCTTTGAATTAGAACTCTCTCCTGTGCAGTTATATTGCTTCATTGTTTGTCTCATTTTGTGTCCAGAGACACAAATGTCCACAGAACTTGGCTTGTCAACCGTCAGGGTGGGGACCCCAAAATATGGCCAGATAGAACTGTGGACTGCACTCTCCCTTTGTGGCTAGGGTTCAACTTTTGCCAGCTCTCGGGGGAATTGTCTCTTTCTTTTGACTATCTTGAGGGGTGGTTCTGGATCATCAGATGGTAGTATCTTTTGCACCTTCTTTGGGGACACCTCTTGTGTCCACGGGTTGCTCAATACTGACAGGAATATTTACCATTTGTCTCAGCTGAAACCCAACAAGCTATTTTTTTTTTTTTTTAAGTTAGCTAAATGGCCAGAAGTTGGCCAAACTGGAAGCCTGATATTCAGAGCCTGATAGTTTCCTTTTAGCTTTGGGAAGAAGGCCTAAAAAAAATTCCTGTGTGTCCCAAAGGAAAGAAGGACATTCTGAAGTCTTTGTGGGAGGATTTACTAAAACATTCCAAAGACACACAGCTCTAAATCTAGAATGTAGGAATCTTTTGATTTCCATCTTAGTTGAAGATCATCTCCCTGACAGAAAAGAAGTAAACTGAAGATTATGTAGTTGGATGGCTGGGTCAGCCTCTTGCTATCATTCAGGTTGTAACCCAATTCTTTGAGGAATAAAAACAACTGTACTTGGGGTGCCCAGCTGGCTCAGAGCAATGAGCGACTCTTGATCTCAGGGTCATGGGTTCAAGCCCCACAATGGGTGTAGAGATTACCCAAAACAAACTTTTATAAGTAAATAAAAACAACTGTACCTGTCTTACAAATTGAGTCTTCACAAGAATAGAAATGCGGCTCTAAAACAATCTAAAGCTCTTCCTGCCATCTTTACAAACCCCCAAACCTCCCCTGTTCATCTCAGAAGGCTTTGAGAACAAAAGTCCTCTTTGGTGGAACTTGTGTTCTCTGTGCCTTCTGAGATGGAAGAGTTCTAACTGGTCTGCT